TTGCACATTTAGCGACCGGCTTCTCACACTTATATCGGAATAGTGAACAATTTAACAGTGCATAGTATGACAGAGATCCGAATCCTCAAGGTGTCCCCACAACGAACGTTTCACGAAGCGACGCTGATGCCAGCGCCTGCTGCTCGCTGGGTAGGCCAACCCGCCACGCAGCCGTGTGCAGACGGTGGCCAGCCCAGAACGCCCAAATGCGGCCGAACGTATGGATACTCAACAACGTTCACTCGCGTCACATCAACGGACATTTCGTTATGGGGGCACCTTTAGCAAGACATAGTTGTAAAATGCTACATATAAACTTGATAACAAAAAATAAAAATAAAAATATGATCTGATGACTTGTCAGGGCACAAACAAATGTTAGATAAAAAAACAAAAATAAACTTTGCTGGGCTAGGGTTTGATGGGTTTGGGTTTGAACCCAAGACATAGGCGACACGACGTAGAGTCGAGACGAGCCCATTTCTATCAACCAAAAGTCTTCGCTGGGGCGTCGTTCCGATGAACACCATTTTTCTGACCGGGTGAGCGTCAGGGACGTCAACGTCAGGGCCTTGTCTACGTCGAGGTGCGTCGCGTGCCGAGCCGAGCTGGGGGATCGGCAGGGGCGGGGGGAGAGGCGAACAGGCGTACGGCTGGCGTGTGGAACCACACGGAAAAAAAAGATTAGCCGTATAGTTTATTAATAGAGGAAAACTAATTATTTAGCTTTGTAGCTAAAAAAGATAAGCTATGTCGCAAAAAGTAGCTTTCTAGCTAGAATTATGTGTGTAGTTTAAAATTTAGATTTGTAGCTCAACATAGCTAAATAGTTAGTTATCCCTCATTTGGTTTAGCCATACAGCTCTTCATGTTTTCCGTGCATGGGAGGAGGAGGGTACCGTGGCGTGGGGTCCATCCCGGTCTTCTCATGACGGCGCCATGCGCCAGGCAGGACCCACACTGTTAATAACAACCACCGGTCTTACCATGAGCGAGCGCGCCGTGTCCATGGCCGGGTAGACGAGCTCTCACCACTACTACACCGCGCGGCTTCTACTCACAGCGACGGTCACTCACGCCTGTGTGTGTGGGACACACACACACCTCAACACTCCCTGGTACTGCTTCACGGCCAGGGAGAGCGAGAGAGTGTGCGAAACGGCACAAACGAACACAAACAAACGAACTACTGGGAAAAGTAACAAGAAAACAAACAGAAAAAAAAAATCCACCACCACCACCAAATTTATTTACTACCTAGTCGAATCCGATCAAACCTTGGCCCGCGGCGGAGAGGAAGGCGGCTGTCTGCCCGCGAGACCAAGCTTTGCCCGACCCGACCGAGCGCGTACTGTACCTGGGTGTCGGCTCCCTCGTCGTCGGCCTGCGGTTCCTGGAAGCGCACCTTGGTGGAGGTCTTGGCGTCCACGTTGTTGCGGTGCAGGTCCACTATGGACTGGACCTGTGCAAGAAGGCGTTAGGGAGGCATGCTCGGTGCAAAGAGAGAGAGAGAGAGGAGGGGCTGCGGGCGCGGGACAGGCCAAGCGCACACACTTGCTCAACATCTTTCCAGAGGCCAGACGAGAGACAACACATCATCTTGTTAACAAAATTGACGGTCTTTCGTGTTACTTTTATTTTAAAGAGGAACATAGAAATTTCAGTTACGGGATTAGAAACAAACGAACGAATTTTTTTTGTCTAAAAAGAGCTATTTCAGATCTGCTATGAGATAGTCGTCTTTCCTTTTGATACCAAAAGTTACAGACGCGTGGGTTTAGGTTGACTCCATCTGTTACAAAGAGAACTAACGTAAACCTTAAATTAAAGTGACGAAATCGCTTCCACACTTTGAAAGGAAGGACGAGTTGATGTCGCAATTTTAACCGCATATTTACTGGAGCGGTGTAAAATATAATTATGAAAGTACGACATGGTAAATAATTACATTTTGTTTACTAACTTGTCCTTCCCAAAAGTGGGACTCGCACATGCACACAAAGCGTGGGAAGGCACTGTTAAAATTTACTATATAGTTATTTTTTACTATGTAAATTTGAACAGTGCAGGATCACGTGCTTTCACTATGCAGCGCTAATCCGGCATGTGAGTGCTATAAGAAGGGAAAAATAATAAGGTACACTAGGAAAAACTACTAATAGAAAATAGAAACCCACGCGCTTTTCGCTTGATCAAAATGATAAAAATCATAGTATCATAAAACTGCTAATCAAGCATGACAACTACGGAACGATGTAGAGTGAATGAACATCATGCGAGCTTAGAGGTGTCAAAGGCGAACGGGATTTTTTCGGGTCGCTGCATCGACTGACATGTGTATCGTAAATGGAGTCGTGCTGTGGGGTGGGTGGGAGCGGTATGGGGGTGAGCGGGGCGCCTGTCCACGGGCGCACCCGGCTCACCGCGGCGGGAGGGCAAGCGCCTGGGAGGTAGGCAGGGCCGCGGCACACCCGCGCTCGACGGGCGTGCCCACGCTGCAGGCGCGCGCCGAGGCATGCTGCGCGAAGACCTGACTCGACTAACCGCGAGGCCACACTAGGGCCAAGGCCATCTGCATTCGCTGAGGAGTGGCCGTTCGCCGTGTGAAAGTAGAGATTTTAAAGTCCAAATTTTTTTCCAGAAATAATTGGAAATTTCCAAAAAAGAGGGAGAAAATTGCGAGATTAAGAAAATAACTTGAAACTTTTTCCCGAGAGTAGTTTTCTGGAAAATAAAAATCCCTACGCGAAAGTGGTCTAAATCCGACAGGTTAATTCTCTTTCCTATAGAGTGGTCTTAAGAGTTAATTTTACCCCTTGCTGCCCCCAACTGTACACAACAACTTGTACTGAAACAATCAGAGGGTGAAGTCATATCGCTGCCATATTGACAACCTACAACCTCGAAATTATGACCTCCGAAGACGTAGTCATATGACGTCACTGCGACCGTTTCGTGTCGACTGGGTGAGTGGAAATGATCGCGTTGCTAGCTAAACCAGTGATGGTGGTACGGTCACGTGACCACGCGCGGGAGAGAGCAAGCTGCGAATGATGAGTGAGAGGAGAAAGAAAGAGAGAGTGATAGATGAAAGCGGACGAGATTTCCTGGGCGGACAGTGCAGTGGGTCGACAAACTACTTCTAACGCAAATTCAAGAATGATTTGAAAACTATACGGATTGATTCCAGCCACTGCGATTATGGAATTCAACTCTCATTTTATGCATTGCCTTCCTGTCTGTGAAAGCGCATACTTCGTTTAAGTGTTCGCGACTCCACTGCAGTCCGCCCAACATCCTCACGAGAGAAAGGAAAATATGAAAACAGGCCACAGCTCAGCTAAACACGTAACACTGAAAGCAGCGTAGTGTCTACCAACCAGTGGCTGATTTTCCTCGGACGGATCTTCGTTGAAGTCTACAAGTGAGTGGACCTTCAGATGTTTCAAAATAAATAGAAAAAAAGGTTTGGGAGGGAGAAGATGAGAAAAACATTCGTCAGTGAATACTTCCAGAACAACACAGACAAAAGACCAAAGTAAATTTCAAGACCGACATTCGCATAACATCATGCGTATCATGGTTTCAAACGGAACGCCGAAAAAGATACACATGGACACGGACAATTTTACCCCGAGGTGCTGTTGTGCATACTGTCGAAATGCGATTCTGTGTTGCACTTAGTGGCTCTCAGTGTTCACGGACCCCACACTCAAACACACACCTTACCTAAAGTCTGCCCGCGGCACTGGCTTCGGCTCGATTTACGTCCAAGACAAAACAAGAGAACTCTACCCGAGACAAGTAACGCAGCTGAACCGGGCTGCGCATAGTCACTTCTAGTATAAAAGCGTTCCAGTCGAGCAAGTCTCGTTGCCCGCGAGGAGTTCGAAGGCGGGTCGGTAGGGGGGCTCACTACTGCTAGAGAGCGGGTGGGGCCACCCCAGGCCCCCCGGGGCGCGGGGGCACGGTGACACTTCCCGTCAGTGTTCGTGTGCCCCCGGCTCCCTCTGAGTCGATAACTCGCCCCCCCCCCCTGCAAGCGCCGCTCTACCAAACTCCACACACTAGATCAGCGGAAACCCACCCGTTAACCCACTTGGCAAACCCCCCGCCTGTCGTCGCGGCGAGTTGGCAGCACGCCGCCGCCTCAGCACGCCTCAGCTCGCGCAGCCCCGGCACTCACCACGCCCAGGCTCTCCTTCTTGCTGAGCTGCAGGTCCCTCAGCATGGCGTTGCGCTGCTCCATCATCAGGGTCCTCTCGTACGTGTACTCCGAGATGTCGCTATCCGTCTGCAACAAGCGCGGCCCGTCAGAAGACACACGTAAAAAAAAAAAATCCGGAATTTTTCCGAAAAAAATTGAAACCCTTCCAGAAAAGAAAATGGAAAAATTTGGAATACTTCCAGAAAAATAGGCAAAACATAAAAAGTGTCAGGTCAAAATATATGAGATTTTTAACAAACTATTGAAAAACTCCGACTGAAAATACCTCTGTGGAAAATTAGAAATCCCAACCCCACCAGCCATCGAGCGAGAGTTGGCGTTGCTCGGTTGTTACGGGGCGAGGGGCTTCACAGGGGCATCGTCGCGGCTGCAACGGCTTACCATCTCGACCACCTCCACCTCGGCGTCTATCCGCAGGTGGTACAGGAACGTCTTGAGGTCCTTCTTCATCTGGATCGAGTTGTCCTCGAGCTGCGCCACCGTGAAGATGCGCATCTTGCAGTTCTTCCAGGTGCGGTGCTGCTTGAGCAGGAACGGCAGCAGCATGAGCAGGCCGCCGTCGTGGACGATCCACCAGACGTCGATGTTGCCCGTCACCTGCAAGACAGCGCGGCGTGCGTGAGAGGACGAGGTCGCGAGGGCAGGGGCGGCGGAGCAGCAACGGGAAAGGAGCTACTCACCTTCTCGGTGGAGTCGGGGAAGAAGTTGATGCCCTTGGGGACGAGCAGCGCCATGCGCGCCGCGGTCACGGTGCGCACCGTCTTGAGGAAGAGCTGCCACGAGCCGTCCTCCTCAGAGTGCCTCCACGAGTAGGGCCAGCCCAGGATCACCGTGTTGGGCTTCATGCCGCCCAGCCCCGTCGTCTGCACCCTGTTGGACACCACAGAGCGTTACAGTCAGGAGGACACCAACACCAACAACTAATTCTATTTCGTGGATATTTTAAGGTCTGAAATTTTTCTGGGAAAAAATTTAAACTTTCCCAGA